CCGCAGACACAAAAACAATAACAAATCGATTCGCGAGGGCAATGGGAAGGGGTCAACGAGAGGTAGGACGACGAAGAAGAGAGGCAGGGGGAGGGAGATCGGGGTAGCTCTGTACGTATGTCTCTCTCTATCTCTTTGGCTTCTCCCTTCGTCCCACTCCCGTTCTCTTTCCCTCTCGTTCCCTCCCTCGTCCCTCTTTCTGGATATTGTATAGAGAACGTTATGCTAAAGTATGCATGCACGAGGGTCGGTCCAATGGTCAGGAATCTCGCGAGTTCGTTCTGCGGCAGCACGTATCCGGACGTATTTCTCCGTACCCCGTCCGTGCCTCGTGAGGGAGAGTCCGCGTGCACGTTACACTCGTGTACCGCCGGTACTGCGTAACTTCCGGTCGACCGGTAAACCTCCAAGGATCGGCTGTGCTTCTTCGTACACATAGTAATAGAAAAGCTCGGGGTGAAGCGTGCCCGGGCGATGATTTACCGTAATGACGATCGGCCTGAATCGCGGTAGGCCACCGGACGGGCATCCGTAAGAAGGAATCTTTCATTATGCTTCATTGGTTGATCTTTTTTCAAATTTTTCTTTTTACCCGTTGCTCGATGTTGGATATTCCGTATATACACACGTAGCTTCCAGGATGTTCATTCGTTTCCTTGTCAGTTTAATCAGCTTGTTTGCTCGAGACTCAGCAAAATCGTCTTTTCTAGTTCGTTTGGACAATTCTTTCTTCTTCTTCTTCTTCTTCTTCTTCGTCTTATTATTATTATTATTATTATTATTGTTATTGTTATATGTTGTTTGTTTCTCGTTTTTCCTTTTCTTTTTCTACTTGTTATTAGTGTAAGATCGATGTTATGCTAAAAGTTACATTTGCATGATGTGTATTATTTTTATGACACGATCGATATTAGCAATTGACACTAACGTTCGAAACGATGGCGATGTTTTTGATTTTCGATATCAACGATTTTTACTTAGCGTCCCGATGTCTCCGCGTTTCTCGCTAGGATTTTGTTCCAGTTTAGTTGCTGTTTAACAAAGTTTTATCTTCGAGCTTCTCGTTTTGTTTTTCTGTTACGTAAATGATAGCGTAGATCGGGCGAGCCGATCGTAAAGGACTTCTTTTTCTAACTGAAACGCAATTTCAATCGTTCGGTACGCGCAGTGTAGATCTACCGTTCGGAGAAGTTACACCGATTTCCACGACTTAATGTCGCGATACACAAGATTGCAGTATCGTACTTTGCGTTAGCTTTCCTTCGCCGAGCCAAATATTTTTCCAATCAAATTCTTTGAATATTTCCGACGAGACAGCTTTCCACTCGAATTTATTTGCTTAATTCGTCTCGCGTCTTTATTAAATACTCTCCGTGGCAAAAATTTGTTAACCGAAATAATAATAATAATAATAATAATAATCATTATTATTATTCTTCACCACGTTTTCCAGTTTGTTCGTCGAGATTCTCTTTGCTTTTAAATCCGACCAATTTCACGTGGACCATCATGGTGTCGTCATTTTACGCTGCAAACTAACGCGCTCGTTCCAGCAAATTACGTCGGAAAAGCCTACAATACTATCGCGTTAACTATTCAAGAATCTCGCGTACGATCGTTTCGAATAACAATACAACTTTTTAATTCTCCTCTTTTGTCGCGAAATTCGTATTTATGTCAGTCGTGTGACGCGATTCCGGTTGGAAAATTATTCTGGAAACATTATCCGTGAAAAGAAGCGGAAATTCAATAGATGTTGGCTGAATAAAATATTTGTTTGCATTATTACTACTTGATTTATGAGATAATGCGCGGAATACCGCAAATGACGGCGACAAATAATATATTTCCTCGTTTCGCTACGTTCGTTACGTTCGTCGAAGCAGCCTGACGCGCGCACGGCGAATCGATAAATTGTTTAACAAATAACCCCATCTGCAAAGGATATTTTCACGTTATTTCTTTAATTCTTCCTTCCTTCTCGTATTTTCAAAATACCGTTCACCCCCCATTAAGCGTTCCGTGTTTCGTTATGTTACGTTCGATGTCAGCGAGCAATTATTAATTCGAACGTATAAAATCGTCTTGCTGGCATATCCAAGTGCGAGAGAGGAGCCGATCGATCGACTTATTAACGGAGATATTTGTCGCGTTATTTTTACGCGAATTCGCTCGATGGACGAACGACGAGAGGGGATAGACGAAGCACCGACGTAATCAGAAGTCCGCCGGTTGTTTTGGAAATTTTTAAACCGGAACGGTCATTAAAATGATTACTGTTTCCCCTGCACGGTTTTCGCGTAGCGACGAACGCGTGCACCAACTTTCGCAAATAATGAGTTTTGAACTCGTCCATCGCCGGATCTATTTATTAAACATTACAAAATGCGCTGCAATTAAGTGGCGCGCTTCAGGCTATCCCATTCAAACTCCTATGCTCGAGTTCGTTTCGTTTACCTTTTCTTCTCTTTTCCTCCGTCGTTCTTTCGTTTTTCTCTTTTTTTTTTTTTTTCAAACATTTTCAGATAAAAATTAAAGACGGACTACGCGGATAAATAGCAAGTTAAACATCGCGCGATGAACAATTCCGCTTAATTAACGATTAATCGTAAACGAAATCAAAGAAACACGTAGCAACGGTTTCAAACCGGCAGGATCTTTCGTTTTCGTTTGGCGATCTTTCATATTTTTTTCAGCTGAATTTTCACGTTGCGCACGGTCGAACGCAATTTCATCTTTAACTTTGACGCTTGTCCCGTTTCACAGACGAATTCTGAAATTGCAAGCGTTTCCGCGTATCTCATTACGAAAATTTATCGTAATCCCCATACTCCACTTTGTCCCGATTCGTTCAAAAGCTCGTTCCCTCCGCGGATGAATATTATCTTCGTTAATTTATTAAGTATCACGTCGAAGGCACGACACGCGAAAGCAAACGTATTAATATGCGCGCGATAATTACGATACCATTGTGCGTAGCTTCGAGTTGTTCCCATCGGCTATCGATATCTTCCTGTGTTGTCTCCATTTCTCTGCCCGTTTGCTCTCGTTCTTCTTCGTCCCACGGTTCTCTTTTACTTGTCTTTCGCGAATTTCTTACCTTACAATTACGCTACGAAGAATATTTCGATAAACTGTCTTCCGGTAGATATTCGGTTGGCAACTAAGTGACTGCGGATTTTGGCATTAGATGGTAATGACAAAACCCGCAATCACTCGGTTGCCAACACGATACATCGGATCGATCAAACGTGTACATCAGCCGGCGAAATCGTTCGAGTAAACTCGTTTCCAAAAATCTTTCACCAGTTCGCTGCGTCTATACGTAATACGAAAGTTTTTCAAATTTCTCTCGCGCGATAACGTTTCACACGAATCTAGAATTTTACGTAGCAGTTGTAGGATATTTGGTACGTTTCGATTAATCGATTCCATCCATTGCGTTCATAGTTCTCCACTATCTGCCACATTTATTATACAGGGTGGTTGGTAACTGGTGGTACAAGCGGAAAGGAGGTAATTCTACGCGAAAAAAGAAGTCGAAAACGTAGAATAAACATTTTTCGTTCGAGGCCTTGTTTTCGAGAAAATCGACTTTGAATTTTCGCTCGGTACGCGCGCTGTACGTTATAACGTAACATAAAATAAAATAACATAAAAATGAAAAAAAAATTTTTATTCTATATTTTCGACTTCTTTTTTCGCGTAGAATCACCCCCTTTCCGCTTGTACCATCAGTTACCAACCACCCTGTATATCTTTAAGGTGGCATTCACAATGCATACTATACGTTTTTTTTTAATTAAATATACGTTCACAATAAATATCTTCCGTAAAGGTTTCCGGATTTGTTTCGAGGGCCAGGGACGTAATCTCGACAGTCTTATCTCGTTAGAGAAGAAATGAAATTTGAAAACGTTACACGCGATACGTAGAATCGCGTACATGAAAAATGTTCCACTCGTAAGCAATCGAGTACTTTGACCGTAAATTTCTATTAGTGCGCGAGCCTCTGGGAAGTTAAATCGATCAACTCCGTCTTTTACCTGAATCTCTCACCTGCGTAAGCGCGTCGTTAATATTCGATTCTCGGAAAACAAATTACTTACGTTCTCGAGTTCGTCCATTACAAGAAGATGACGTACAAACGATAGGAAATTTCGAGACAAACTTCAAAAATTCGCTTTCCTCTGCTTTTCGATTTCTAATCACCACGATTTATACATCGAGATTCGGTTAACCGAGAAATTTATACGATCGATTGTTCCGACGAGTTCAAATAAATTTCGTCCTTGGGATATTTCGAACGATGCCTAAATTATCGAGCTACCGCGAGACTTTATATTTTATTAAAGAATCTAATTCTATTTCGGGTAATGTCATCTATCGTTCAGCCGGCTCTGATTTCGACTAGCGAGAACGTTGCATAGACAGTGTGCATAGGTAGCGGGAAGCAAACAAAAATGAATATCGTCTTTTCCATTATCCGTGTCTATTTCAAACTCCCCTTAATCGACTATCGGCGGAAGTTTCAAAATAGTCTATCCAGCGTGATCGAATCAACCGATTCGTGGTGTTATTTAAAATCCTTTGTACCTCGATTTGGTATCACGATATCGAAGAGGTTGCGGGGCAAAAGTAGGATACCGTGGCCAAGTGTTCGTTGATCTGGTTAACAAGTACGCTACGATACGGGGCTTTGTACGGGGCGTACAAAGAAAGTATCGCGATACCTTTACAAGCTTCTTACGCGTGTAAAAGATTTCGGAATCTCATTAGCTCCGTAACGAGACGCGACGATCGGGATTACGTTTCGATAAATCAAGTTTGATAGAAATTTAGAAACGTAAGAGAACAGAGGAGATATTTCTAAAGACACACTGTAGAAAGATATTTATTGGAAATACACGCTTCGTAAGAATAGTACAAATACCACGATGCTGGAGTTTAGTTCACTGTTCGCCATATCGATAAGCCACGTTATTTAGCGAGTCTATCTTTAGTTACACGTTTGATTAAGAACACTGTTTGCGTGCTACGTGTTCGCCAAGCGTACGTTTGCAACAATCGTCTTGCAACTTCTACCCGCGTTGCCCGATTTCTTTCGATATTTTAGTATCTTCGTGAACCAACGTCGTCCAACGAAAATGTTCGTATAACGCGCGTGCCATACATCGATAAATAGATTTCTGTGACGAGCGTTCGAACGCTTTCGCGAGTCCGCTGTTCCTTCGCCACGCGGTTGCCACGTAACGTCGAGTAAAACGATCGAGGATCACTGGACCTATTTGTCTCGTGGCGATAAATACCGAGGTGCTGGAGAAATCGGTCGCACCGGTTAACGCGTTAATAATCGGTGCTTGCAGATGGAATATGGGATCTGGAGTTTTCACGCCGCGGGTGAACTTTGGGGTGACCCGCGTCTCGCCCGAAGGCACCCGATTCTACCATCAAGCGCGACACAGTTGCTGCCGAGGGCCGCGTTCGCCCTGAGCGGACTCCACCGACCGGATATGGTGCCGTTGCCGTTGACCTCTGCAGGGCCGCCCTACGGACCTATGGAATTGGTGACGAAAAGGGACGGTGAACGAGTCGCGGAGGAGAACGAGGAGAAGGAAGAGAAACAGGACGACGACGAAGGGAACACCGATCGAGCCGACGAGAACGATAATCAGGTATAATTTAGGATTATAATTCTTTCTTTTTTATTTGGTAGACTTTTTACGATCGACTCTCATTGAAAATCGTCGATGTTGTTAGATGTATGAACAGAGAAACGCGTGAATAAATTGTAACACAGAAGTGTAAGTACTAGTAGGAATATAATTTGAGCTGGTGCCGATCCGCACGCTAGCGGTGTTACCTTATAACTGAAAGCCCATCGTCGCGTTGAGGGTTGGGAGATAAAATAAAAATAGTTGAGTCGTAATACAACTACTAATTTTGTTTTAATTGAACTTTATTATAAATTCAGCAATCACAATGTAACACACACTGAATTAACATAAATCACAATTCACTGCAACCACGTTATGTAAGACTTAGTTACAACGATACGTTAAGTACGCGACTGTTACAAGGGTAGAGACCAGTAAAGATACGTTGACTATTCTGAGGATACAGAATAAGTGAGTTTTACCGACGATACTGTCACGTAAATTTAAGGGTTGGTCGATGAAATGAAATAGCTGAGTCGTAACACAACTATTAATTTTGTTTTCATTAAACTTTACTATGAATTCGGCAATCAAAATGTAACACACACTGAATTAACATAAATCACAATTCACTGCAACCACGTTATGTAAGACTTAGTTACAACGATACGTTAAGTACGCGACTGTTCTAAGGGTAGAGACCGGTGAAGATACGTCGACTATTCTGAGGATACAGAATAAGGGAGTTTTACCGACGATACTGTCACGTAAATTTAAGGGTTGGTCGATGAAATGAAATAGCTGAGTCGTAACACAACTATTAACTTTGTTTTAATTAAACTTTGTTATGAATTCAGCAATCACAATGTAACACACACTGAATTAACATAAATCACAATTCACTGCAACCACGTTATGTAAGACTTAGTTACAACGATACGTTAAGTACGCGACTTATAAGGGCAGAGACCGATATAGATATGTTGACTATTCTAAGGATACAGAATAAGTGAAGTTTTACCGACGATACTGTGTCTGAGGAAAGCTAGGGGTGGGTGTGTCCAAGGACACGGGACTATCGGATTTGTCGATGAAAATTTTGGTTAAGGAAGCGAGAGCAGTAGACACCGTCTCCGATTGGATAATAGGACGATTGGTGGACCAGGAAGGGTTTTAGCCGCCCTCGCGAGAAAGTTGCCAACGGAACATACCAGACGCGAGGAGAAACTAACTTTCCGTGTTAACCCATAGTAAACGATAAACGTAAAAGGAAACTTAAGACAAGAGATACTCGCTCGGTCCGAAGGACCTTAACTATGAAAATTCCAAGACCCCGGTGGGTACTTAGGACTATCGAGGGTACGCGCCAAGAATGTGCAGATATCCGGGCGCCATCCTGTTCGCGGTGTGTGACCTGATCTCCGATGTGAATCGACGTTACACCATCGTCGCCTGTCTACCGTCTATGGTCTGCCTTCGTCTCAGTCTATCGTCTGTATCGTCTGCTTCGGTGCTTGAGAAAAGTAAAAAGATCAGACGTAGAGTTTTTTTAGAAGTGGTGACCACTTCGACAAGAATTATAAGTAAATTATTTTGGCGTGGTACCGTAACTTGCATTATAAGAGTTTACAGTATGTTTGGTTCTAGTTGAATCTAATGCTTCGATCTAAAGGGTAATGTCTCTTTAGTCTGCGGATCTGACTCGTCGTGTCGAGTAATTTACTTTGTAATTGAGTAACTAATGGGTTTTGGTTGTTGTTAATTCTTATAATTATATCTGTTACTGAATTTCGATATTTCTTCTTTAACTGTAGGTATCTTAAGGTCGCGATGTATTGTTTCCTAACATTTATATTACATAATTTAACATTTATATTTCTTCGAAAGTTCGGTACGCGGTAGGTGTCGTATCGTGGGAGGTTCGAAACGATGGACGTAAGTTGTAATACCGTAGGATCTTATGCTACAATTAGTTTATTTACGATAAATGGATTAAACAGATGTAGATTAAACAGGAGACGATGGTTGTTTAACGTCAACTAATCACAATAACGTATTATAATTAAGACAACTAGATAGTTCGTTTGCAACTCTCGTCGCCACGGATCCAACGCTCTCTCGACAACGCTGGTGTCACGTAGGAGACACAAGAAACGAAGAAACCAACCACCGGTGATCTCGCGTCGTAGTTCGAACGTTTCACGAATAAGGTGAAGAAATTGAACTTTGTATACGATAATAGAATTTATTATGCGAATCCAACAGAGTGACGGTTCAAAGTGTTACAACAGAATGATTGAAAGTGTTACGAGAGACTGGGACGAGCGCTTATTTTGGAGGGTTTCTTTTACTGAGATTTAGTTCCTCTGGAGGGGTTGTCGTCTGGTGTGTCACGTAAAATCTCAAGTCACAATTCAGATTATAAAGAAGCAAGAAGGTTGAACCGAAACACGATTATTAACTTTCTTTTTATTACACTTCATTACGCGCTTGATAGTCACAATTGAGTATACACTGAATCGACACGTGTAAATTACGCTTTACTCTGACAACTTCGTATAAATTAAGTAGGCGACTGATCTAAGGGTAGAAACCCGGTGAGGAGACGTCAACTGTTGGGAAGATGGAAAATCGGTAAAGTTTAGTGACGATGTTGTGGCTAGCGATGGGTGGGTCTAAGGGCACGAAAAGAGCCGATTTCTTAAGGACAAGTTTTCATTAGGAGAGCGAGGGAAATAGACTTCGCCGTCAATTGGCTGATTTTCTAGGTTGCTGGGTGAGGAAGGGTGCTAACCGTCCTTGAGAGAAAGTTGCTAAAGGAAGATACCGAACGTGAGAAAACTAACTTTCCCGTATCTTCCGGTAGTAGACAAAAATGTAAAGAACACTCGAAATAGAAGATGCTTGTTTTTGGTCTGAAGGATCTTAACCATGAAAATGCCAAGATTTATGGTGGGTCCTTGAGAATATTCGTAGCAAGGATGTGTAGACATTTGGTTGCCATCCTGCCCTCGGTGTGCGACCTCTGGTCTCTGATGTGGATCCAGATGTGGTTGATGTTACAGGTGTATATCAGAGATTTTACGCATTCCGTTACTATTTGGTCATTGTTTCGACGACTGTGGCACGCAGGATGTTTAGCCTATGCTAATTACTGTTTCTGAGCTAATTACTGGTCTTCTCGAGCGTGTGACACTAACAATACTCTCTGGCACACTCTCTGTCTTCTCGACTCACACCGACTGTTAATTCGTTTTTGTCCCTTAGCAACCTCTTGTCCTTTGTCTTAGTCTCGTGTCCTTTGTCACAGCCCCACCACGCACATGTTCCGCGACCCCTTGTTTATAATTCGCCCGATACCCCCCACAGGCTCCTCCTCTTTGATACTACGATACTATAAACAGGTATCGATATAGGCGACGGCGAAGTTTCTATTTTGTTGCTTTACTTTTATTCCATAGTCGTGTCTTATACCATAGCTGTGTTCGTTCAACGATAATCGATGGATTATATTTTGTTGAAATTTGGTTGTACGGCGGATATGGTACGTGTAGGGCTTCGAAATTTCAAGTAGCGTTTAGAATAATACGAGACGGCTGGTGAAGGTGTCCGTGTTAGAATTTAATCTTGGAATTAAGATTAATAATCTGTGGAAGACACAATGTTCGCGTTGAAATAATATAATGTGATATTTATTAAACAATTATTACAAGAATTATAAATGTGCGTTCTGGAATGTAGACAGTTGGCTAGTTATTCACAGACTGACTGGCTCAGTGACCCATGGCCCTTGAGAAGGTTTAGAGCCCCACTCTCTATGCAGTAATGAGTGCGACCTGTGTGGGTGTCCGCGTGGCGTCACATGTGGCACAGAACCTTCTAGTAGCTTCTCGACGTGCCCATCTAGAATGTTCCATCATCCATATCCTCACGCTTCTTCCGGTGAATTTTCGAAAGAGCATGCACGTGCTAGCCGCCGTGGTGCATCTCACGAACGCACGCTGGGCAACGAAGGGAAGAATCCGTACGATCAATTACCTTATCCGCATGCGATTGATATCGTTGTATTTCAACAGTTCGCAAGAAATTCTCTCGATGTTCAACAAGAGAGGTTTATCAAACTACGCAACGGTCAACGATTAACGATCAACGATTAACAATCGAGAGTTAATAATCACGTATCTGGAATTGCGTTTGCTTCGCTATGACGCTAAACCTTTGGCACTTCGCAGCTCGGGGCACAATGAATCTTTTGTTCGAAACCAAACGGATTCTTTTCTTCGTCGTCCCTCGACCTTATAACTGAAAGCCCATCGTCGCGTTGAGGGTTGGGAGATAAAATAAAAATAGTTGAGTCGTAATACAACTACTAATTTTGTTTTAATTGAACTTTATTATAAATTCAGCAATCACAATGTAACACACACTGAATTAACATAAATCACAATTCACTCCAACCACGTTATGTAAGACTTAGTTACAACGATACGTTAAGTACGCGACTGTTACAAGGGTAGAGACCGGTGAAGATACGTCGACTATTCCGAGGATACAGAATAAGTGAGTTTTACCGACGATACTGTCACGTAAATTTAAGGGTTGATTGATGAAATAAAATAGCTGAGTCGTAACACAACTATTAAGTTTGTTTTAATTAAACTTTATTATGAATTCAGCAATCACAATGTAACACACACTGAATTAACATAAATCACAATTCACTCCAACC